TAAGTAATGTATCCTTAGTAATGTAAGTAATGTAAAAGGTTAATATTTTCATATTTCCATACATTTTTGTTTGTTTATGAGGGCAAACCATTAAGTTTCCCCTCCTGTCATAAATGTACTAAGGGGAGGAGTGTGGCATCCGCCCAGGTCATGAATATTCATATGCTATCTGCATGGACCAATGAGAGTGCTGGAGAGGTGGAGTCAAGAGATATAAGATTCTCTGCAGGAGGAGGGGGAGACTGGAGTTTTGAAGAGTTGAGAGGGGAGGTTTTGGAATTGGGAGTGGAGGGTGGATGAAGTGAGATATTTGGTTAAGAGTTAAAGACATTCTACCTTCATCACCTGTATTAATAAACAACTTCTATTTGGTTCTATTTAAAATGATACATGGCCTGTACCTCTATTGTTATTAATGCATGTGCTGATGTAATAAACTGGTGGCAGATGAAAGATTCGTAGCTTGTGCTCTTGTTTGGTGAAACAATCAAGGGACAGGCGGGAATGTGATACTAAGTCTTCTACAAGACTCTAACGGGTAACCACTTCTTGCCACAGATCCTAACTCCTTCTAGCTAGGAATACCTTCAAACTTCAGCCCATTAAATTTTTCAGTGGATTGTTTCGTATCCCAGCGCTGTGCCATCAATTTGTCACGTTTCCATCTGTCGCTTGGTTGTTTCACCAATCACAGGGTACAAGCTACGTGTTGTGTCGCTGCCACCAGTTGATTACATCAACATTGTTTATTATTAATCACAGACGTCCAGGCAATGTGTTATTTTAAAAAGAAACAAATAAAAATTGTTTATTAATACAGGTGATGAAGCTACTCTTAACAACACATCATTCTTCATATACTTTCAACCATCAACCCTCTCTCTCTCTTTCCTCCCAAACACCAATCCTCTAATCTCCAAATTCCAATCTCACTCTCTACTCACCCAGCAGAGACTCTTATATCTTGTGACTCCGCCTCTCCAGCACTCCCATTGATCCATGCAGATAGCATATTGATATTCATGACCTGGGCAGATGCCACAAAGCCCAATGAGGAAAGACTAAAAGAACTGTTAGAATTTGTGTATTTGTGTAAACCAGAAAGTTTATATGGGTATACAGTGGGGTCTTGACTTGCGAACGGCCTGAGGTACAAACTTTTTGAGTTACGTACTTCTCCGTCCGCAAAAATCCATTTTGACTTGCAGACAGAGAATTGAGGTACGTACCAATTTTTTTTTTTTTAAGCAGGAAAGCACCTGGATGCGGCGAGAGGCGGCGGCGCTGCTCCTGCTCCGGGATTGGGGCGCCTTGGGGCGTTCTGGCCGCCAGAATTCGAGCCCGGCCGGGGCCTCCTGGGTGGGCCCCGCTGTAATCATAAGCAATTAGTTGTAAAAAATATATCTCACCCAATAGTAACAGTGATGCTGAATAGCTGATTGTTGCTTCTCTTATTTGCCGGCTGCCGATGACTTGCAAGCAGAGAACTGCTTGTTTCTGCTCGTTGGCTGATTAGGGAATTTCCTGGATCAAACGGGGATGACCGCCGTCCCCCCCGTGATCAACAAGCATCCCCCCCAGTTCACCACCTCTCTGGGGTGGTTTCGACACCCTAGGGTGTCCCAAACAGGTCAGAATTCAGCCCAGGGAACAGAACTCTGTCCTCCTGCTGCTGTCTTGTTGCGGCGTCAAGCTGGAACTCTCAGTGTTAACTGTACTGTTTGTGCAATAGTTATGGAATATGATTAAAGTGCAACATTTGCTTGGATATTAATAAAATAAGCAGTATGTATAGTGATTGTGAAAATAAAAGTATCCTTAGTAATGTAAGAGTAATGTAATGTAATCCTTATCAATGTAAGTAATATATCCTTAGTAATGTAAAAGGTTAATATTTTCATATTTCCATACATTTTTGTTTGTTTATGAGGGCAAACCATTAAGTTTCCCCTCCTGTCATAAATGTATTAAGGGCATCCGCCCAGGTCATGAATATTCATATGCTATCTGCATGGACCAATGAGAATGCTGGAGAGGTGGAGTCAAGAGATATAAGATTCTCTGCAGGAGGAGGGGGAGATTGGAGTTTTGAAGAGTTGAGAGGGGAGGTTTTGGAATTGGGAGTGGAGGGTGGATGAAGTGAGATATTTGGTTAAGAGTTAAAGACATTCTACCTTCATCACCTGTATTAATAAACAACTTCTATTTGGTTCTATTTAAAATGATACATGGCCTGTACCCCTATTGTTATTAATGCATGTGCTGATGCAAGACCCCACTGTGTAAGAATGAATGTATTTGCATAATAGAATGTGTTTAACCAATCAGATTATGTCTAGTGTTAGCCAATAGGTGCTTAGAAGGTTAATGGTGAAATATAGGAAGGAGTGACAGAATGAGGCTTGTCCGTGAGTGTTTGATAACTTGTCTTTTAATATGTCGGTGTTCAGTTAGGCCCCTCTGTTGTTACTATGAGGGGAGATACTTGAAAAATTGTCATACATAGGAGGGGCAGGATCTGTTCTCGATTATTCCAGAGTGCAGGACATATAAAAATGGGCTCAAGCTACAGGAACCCAGATTTACACTGAGTATCAGGAAAAACAACTGTTAGAGTACGTAGTATGACAATGAAAACAATTACCTCAGGAGTGAATGCTCCAATACTGGAGGCAATCAGGAGAAACTTGGACAACCACTTGTCAGATCTGCTTTTATTTAGATTCCTGCACTGAGCAGGGGGTTGGACTCATGGCCTTATAGGCCCCTTCCAACTCTATTATTCTGTGATTTTGTAACCATTCTTTGGAGGGTAATAACATGGCTGCATTCAGTCTTTCCCAGGTTTAGAATCCATATTCTGGGTATAAAATACTGGTTGAGATCAAGTTGCTTAGAGTAGTAAGTTGCATTAGAGTAAATCTATTGAATCAGTAGGGATTTGGTGAGTTAGCATAGTTAATTTCAACTAGAGTAGGCCCACTTTAATCAATGGAACTCATAGAGGAATTGGCTCACCCAAACCCTATTGCTTCAGGAGACCTACTCTAGTGTGATTTACTAAGCAACAGGATTTCAATTGTTATTACATGATTATTACATAAGTAGGCTAGAAATTGGCTTGCCATTTGGCTGGTTAATCAGGTCTTGCCAACACATTAGATATGCTAAAAAGTATTCCTTTTTTATTATTAACTGGCCCAGATTCCCAGGCTTCTTTACCTTTTTAAAAAGCCAGTTAATACATGTTAGATGTGGAAATACAAAACATTTATTTATTTAACTTCTATATCATCCATCTGCCTACCAAGGCCACTCTCGGTAGTTCACGACAATCCATTCTGAAACTATGAATATTCTGATTCTGCCTAATTAAGTCAAAATCAAACTCAAATGACTTCTACTGAAACCAAACCATGACATACATTTATTTATATCTTAATATCCTGCTATTTCAGATGAATTTGCTGGCCAGAATCCTATTGGTATTCACCTAAAGTTTGCTAGAATTACAATGGCTAACTGTTGAAGGACCAGGGTGTGCCTTTGTCCTGAGCCTGACACCTGATCGTGTTGGAGTTTTTGCAACCTTGCATACTGCCTTTAGCAGTTTCAGCTGGGAAGGACCTTTCTGGGTGGGAATGACTGTCAGTCTATCTTGTAACAACCAATCTATCTAGAAGCAACCCTGAATTCAAAGAGAGCCTCACCTTTCTCTCTGTGCCTCCCACCCCCCCCTTTAGAGTCTGTTGCTGAAAGTAGTCATGATTTTTAGCTTACGGTTATCTGTTCACTGTTAGTAGGTGAAACATTTTATTTCTCTTACAAATGTCTCAGAGTAAGTTATTGAGCCTGCATGTGCCAGTTAATGAGAAAAAGCATGTGCCAGTTAATGCAGAACATGAAGCTATTCTGCGCTGTGAAACACTGCACTTCTGCTATGCAGCTAGAGAACTGAACAAAAAATTCAGAACTCTACAGATATACATGAGCACCTCATAAATTAGTCAGTTAGTTGCCCTGTTACAAGAATGTTACACGCATCTGACAAATTTTGTCCCACTTGCTCTTTAAGTCCTCACCAAACAGGAATCACAGATGCCCACAGAAAAGTATGAAAAAATCCTGAAATTTAGTGCAATTCTGTTTAAGAAGCAACTTAAAAAGAAGTAATTTTTTCTCCTCCCAAAATATAGCAACAAAGAAATTTCTGTACTTTGTAATTCATGTGTCAGAATGATGGTTTGTCCCATCCCTGTAAATTTTTTAAGACTTGTGGGGAGCAGCTGTAGTTGATTATGAGTAATACAGACTTGTGCTTAAAGAAACTGAATAGAGGAATGCACTCTGAAAGTATTTATAAATATGTATACCATAGGTAGAGTTGGCTGGATAGCTTTAGTGAGTTAGGTATCTGGCTGCAGAATCTGAGACTGGAAGTTCGATTCCCCAAGGAGAAGAGCCAGCCTGTGTGATGGCAAGCTAAACAACCGTCCCAGGATGCCCCCAGAATAAGGGAATATATAAGAATAAGGGAAGAGTAAGAGCGAGCACACACACACTCACTCTATTCGCCAGGACCAAGAATGGGAATCTGAGAGACTTCCAGCCCACTTTCATGTCGTCACTGGGTTCAGCGTGACAGATTTAAAAACGGAGGAACTCCGCTGAATCGAAGAGCTTAAGCAGATACAGTTGGTTGTATACCTGTGCAAGCATATCAGGCAAAATTCCAAGAAACAAATACAAAAAGGAAAAAATGTCAAAAATGTTTTTGTCTTTTTGTTTCCTTTGGATTTTCCCTTAAGAACTTAAGTATCCTTTCTCGGAAGAGAGAGAAACTTAGGGGAAACGTCACATATAGCGCATGCCCTCTCCAAAGTAAAGGTAGGATTTAAAAAAAAAAAGGAATGCAGGCTGTCCGACTTGCGTCGTCTTTGTAACCAAAACAAAAAACAACAACGCATCAGCGCTAGAAATTTTTTTACTAGGTCTGGTCCAGTTCTTTCTCATAACATTACATGAGGGCAGGGGCTGTCTGTCTGTCTCTGGACCTGCTCGCCCAGAACGCCGCACGTAAACGGAGCCCTGGCGGCGAACGCCAACGAGGCTCCGCGGCTGAAGATGCGGCCCTCTGGCCGCCTCCGGGCCCCAACGCCGTGCTCACCGGCTGGGCAAAAAGCCTTAAATACGGTCGTGTCTCAGTAGTCTGTACGCTTCTTTCTGCGTTGCCTGCCCTACCTCACTAAAATTGTTGGGTGGTAATGGAGCCCAACCTAAGATTTTCCAATCATCTGCCCGAAAGGGCGCAGGGAGGTTCACGAGCCCGGGAGGTTGCTTGCTGCCCGTGCGAGAGTCTATTTCCTACGGCAGGCGAAGTTCCAACCCCCTCCAACATGGAGACCTGCGGAAGTCGTGACGGCGTTGCACCGCTTGCTTTGTTGTGTAAGAGCCTGCCAGAACCCAAGATGGCGTTCGCCGAGGCTTCAAGGTCTTTTCCCCTTGCTCGCTGCCTGCCCCGAACAAAGGTGGTCGTCGGAAGTGCGCCCACTTTTTGAGGCCGCCTTCCCGTTCCGCCTCTCCTCCTGTCTCGCCGACCTCCCAACTCGCCGCAGAGATGATGGCAGCCGCCGAGGTGGAGTATGAGTCTGTGCTGTGTGTCAAACCTGATGTTAGCGTCTACCGGATCCCCCCGAGGGCCTCGAATCGAGGATACAGGTAGAAGATGCGGTGTACGTGGGGATATTGTTTGATTACGAACTGTGCGGCTTGGGAATAAAATATATTTCTACTTCTTAACACCTAACCACTCAGGAGCTAACGGGAGGCCTGCCTTACAGGGTTGTTGCAAGGATTATTGGGGTGTGTCGGGAAGAGATGAGGTTTGCTATGTATTATGGGGTTTTACGTTTTAACCTGTAAACCGCCCAGACGACTGCTTGCGTTAATGAGGCGGTATATAAATCAAATAAATAATCAAACATCCTGTCATGAGGCTACCTATAGACAGTGTTGAGTGTACATTCTTAATTTTAAAAAAGTATGATTGTTTGGCAGGAATTTATAACCTTTGTTTTGAAAGCTGACAAAGTCACAAGAGGAAGGGAGGGGGAAAACAGTAGCCTGTCCCCTGCTAACATTGCTGTTTGACTACTGTAATGTACTCTCTGTAGGGCTACCCTTGAAGCTGACACAGAGGCTGCCGCAAGTGCAGTGTGCAGATGCTAGACTGCTAAAAGGAACATCCTTGAGAACCCATGACACAGTTTCTGAAGGATTTGCGCTAGCTGCCAATATGCTTCCAGTCAGAGTTCAAGTTGTTGATGACTTACAAACCACTAAACAGCTTAGGAGCTTCGTATTTGAAGGAGTGCCTCTCCATATGTAAATCTGCCACTAAGATCTTCTGCCACTAAGGCCCTCTTCTGTGTCCCACCATTGAGAGCAGTTTGAGGATCATGGCTTGCACAGGTTTTTAATGTTTTAAATTACTTAATTGTTAAGTAATTTATTTAATTACTTAATTGTTAAGTAAAATAATACTGTTGTTTTATTTTATTTTAATATAGTTGTTAGCTGCCCAGAGTAGATTTCTGTCTAAATGGGCGGGATATAAATTATATAAATAATTTTTAAAATTGTTCTCATTATCTTATATAGCTCTGTAACTCACATTGATATCTTATGATATTGGGTGGGCTATAAATGTTTTTAATTAAGAAAAGAAAAGAAAAGATAGCAATGATTGGAGATTGGGTGTGATAAAATGGTAATCTGTGTTAAAGAACTGGAGCTGTTGGTTTCTAAAATGTGTAAATCTGCCACCATATGTTTGGGTTTTCCTTACAGAGGCTTCCCCCTTCATTCAGAGGGTGCCAGTATTCTGTACATGAATTATGGGCATTGGAATTGTGCTGCTGTTGCTTAACTTCAGACATTTTAAAGTCTGTTAGTGGAGCCAAGGCTCTTCTTTTTCTCTCCCAATGTGTGGGCTTGGAGAACAATCCTAATCTGTAGAGGTTGCATCTTTTTTCTTACATGATATGACTTGTACATTTTTGTCCATCTCTTGTCCTACATTTTCATTAATTTTATCATGTTTATCATTTTCCTTCTTTCATGCTTCTTAGTTTATTGGAGTTTTTTTAACTTTCTTCTTGCGCAGTTTTCTGATGTTATCTGGTTGAAGCCCCTGCAGCCTGGCCAGGACATTGAATTTTCTAGACCTAATCAAAGTGCGGCACTACTGTGTTTCCATGCAATCTTTGTCATTAATACAAAACTATTAGGGCTACTTGGCCTCTGCTTGTTTAGATATCAACCAAGAGTATTACTTATTCTGCCAGGCTTCCTACTATAATTCTGCTCTTGGAAGATAGGAGAAAGATGTGGTTTAGCACGTTAAATTGGAAGGTACATACAACATATTGGAAAGAACACCACCTGTCTTGGGTCCTTTTAAGGTGAAAGGCGAGTTAAAAATATTTTAAATAAATTAAACTCTTATTGCCGTTGATGATTTCTCACCTTCTTTCAATGGATTTGTTTTCTTCCGCTGATGTTGGCCTTTTTGAAAGCAGGGAAAGAAGTAAAACAGGTTTTATGTTACAAAGCATCCCCTTCCCCTTGTTATATGTGTATGCACTCATGCACATGCTCTGAGTCATCCTATTGCAGTTTTCATTACTGGCAAGCCTACTCTTCTGCCTTTTATCTTCCTTCTAACAAGCACAAAGAGAACTGGGTTATCTCTCAGTTTCTACATCTTCATGACTGAGCGAACAGAGAGGGATAGAAAATAAGCTTGTTTTTCTACTGGTCCTTCCTACACCTGGATTCTGTTGGCATGACATGATTTTTAGTTTCTTTTGCTTGTTCAAAAAACTGAGTAATCTTTTCTGCATCCTGCTACATACAAGGCTGAGGTCCTTGTGGCATCCCATTTTCCCAAACAGAAGCTGTTATTGCAGGTACTGGGGGAGATGTTAATTTAGACTCCTCCCCAGCAACTGTAGAAAAACATGGGGAGAAAGAAAGCATCAGGACTGCATTTTTCATTTTTTCAGAAGTGCGTGTGTTTGTTTGAAATCTGAGAAAGAAATGTGGTTCAGAGTGTTGGAAACATGTTATCAAACGTTTGGGAATGCACATTAGTTTGAACTCTTTGGACTAACATGAGAGTCCATGAAACATTTTGGTTTTGTGATGCAGTAGTCAAGCCCTTGTGGCACAAGCTCTGAAATTTTTTGCATCTTGGTTGGCTTGGATTCCTCTTAGTTCCTTCCTCAGGTGAAACACATTTTCCTGAAGCAGAGAATGTTCATCGTCCAACCAATTAAAGAAAGGAAAAGCTTCTTTAAATTCATATAGATCTTCCATTTATTCAACAGTACTTTAACAATTAATAGACATTAAAATCCTTTAGATGCTAATTTTTTAAAAATTGTTTTTTTCTCCTTATTTTATGTTAGCTACTGAGATAGCGAAGGGTAAGAACAACCACAGGGATCAGGATATCTAATTATCTGTTACTAGTCCTGCTTTCATGCATATTTCTCAGAATAAGTCCAGCTGAGTTCAGCTGAATTATTTATTAAATCTATATAAGTACAATTATATTAAATGTACATAGGGTCACACTTCTTATTGTGGGACTGTTTAGACACTCTGGTTGGAATCCTATTTGCCCAGCTTTGTGTGACTAAGGCCAGTGACGACATTTTTGGCCATGGACATCAGTCTTTAATTAAAAGTTTCCTTTTCTCCATCAGGTTCTGAGGCTGTCTGGGGATACCTTTCATTTTGAGGTAGCCTTTTGGGAAACTCTGGATGTGGAGAATCTGTAATGTCCAAAGTATCTCCTGTGGACTGTTGGAGTGGGAGATACAAGGCACCCAACCTAGCTGTTTGTGGTTCATTTTTTGGATTTGTGCAGAGGAACTGCCCACCTACCAGCCCCCTCCCCCTTCCACTGCCCCCATATCTTGAAGCCTCCACCACTACTGCTTCAACTATCCTGACAGGCAGCAGTTTCTGTGGCCCATACCTGCTGTGTGGGTGCATGCACCCACCTGTCAGCTGAGAGGGGGGTACATGGGCACATGCAGCAGGCATGACTCCTTTCAGGATGATGGAGCGCCTTGAAAGCAAAGTAGGGAGCCGACAGGGGCAGTGGGGGTTGGGCAGGCATCCCCTTTTGTTGAACAAAGTGAAGTGCCAAGAGAGGAAAAGCTTGGCACTTCAGCAAAGTGGGATTCCCAGAATTGAACCACAAACCAGCCCAGTTTCTGAGTTTTTCTGGTTCATGGTTTGATTCATGCCCATCTCTGTCACAGATACATTTCCATGATAGGCAGAGTAAGTTTGAGTATGACAAGAAGAGCAAGAACTGTACATATTCCTCCTTTCCCTTAAATTGTATGCAATTCCTCAGAGCATCCAGATGATAGGTAATTTTGCCTTTGATGTGCATGGAAACATGCTGTCTAATTTTATTTGGATGTTGTGTGAAAGTACCTCATTTGGTTTGAAAGCTTGCTACAGTGGTGCCTTGCATTACGAGCGCTCCGTTTGACGTCAATATTTTTGCGATCACAAAACAATGTTCCCTATGGGGGAATTTCGCTTTGCGATGATCGGTCCCCTGTTTCGGTAACCGATCATCGCAAAGCAATGATTTTCGCATAGCTGATTGGCGGTTTCAAAATGGCCACCGGGTAAAAAAAATGGCCACTTGCTGTTTTCTGGCACGGATTCCTCACTGCACGGGCAGCGAAAATGGCCGTGCTATGGAGGATCTTCGCTAGACGGTGAGTTTGAAGCCCCTAGAAACGCATTAATCAGGTTTTAATGCGTTTCTATGGGCTTTTTAAAATCGAATGATGACGTTTTCGTTTTACAGCGATTTTCGCAGAACGAATTAACGTCGTCATGCGAGGCACCACTGTACTTCTAAAGCAGCCAGTGGCCAGATTAGCAGTTTAGTACAGTGGTGCCCCGCTAGACAATTACCTCACAAAATGGTTAATTAGCTAGACAATGAGTTTTTGCAATCGCTATAACGCTTTGCAAAATGGTGTTTCCTATGGGCGATTTTCGCTGGACGATGTTTCGTGCTTCATAAGATGGTGTGTTTTTTTGGACCGATTTTTGCAAGATGACGATTTTGACAGCTGAGTCCACGACTCGCAAAACAGGTGCTTTCAGGACCGTTTTTCGCAAGACAGCAATTTTTACAGCTGATCCACGCTTCGCAAAACGGTTTCTCTATGGCCGATTTTCACAAAACGACAATGATTTTCCCCATTGGAACGCATTAAACGGATTTCAATGCATTCCAGTGGGGAACTGCATTTCGCAGACGATGTTTTCGCTAAACAGCAATTTTCGCTGAACAAATTAACATTGTCTTGTGGGGCACCACTGTATATCTTACTATGGTCAGATACTGACTTTCTCTTGCAGGACTAGGAAGCTGCTGGGCCAGGGGCTGCACTGGCAGCTCCTAAAGACATCAAAGAGTGTTCACAGTGCTACAGTTGGATTTACAATGGTAATGCGGGACTTCCTCTTTGCCGATGATGCAACTGTTGTTGCCCAAGCTGCTGAAGAGCTCCAACAACTAATGAATCATTTTAGTAAGGCCTGCCAAGATTTTTTTATAATATACAAACACTTTAACAATCTAACATATAATTAACAAGACAAAAAACAAACAA